TCGGGACCCTCATGGGGGTCCCTAGATCATTCCAGGGGGTCACCAGATCATTGTAAATAAGATAATAAATAAAGCCGACATTTATCAAATAAATGTGTATCAGGGCTGTCAGAATTAAAAGTGTACACTTCTTCACACTCCTTTTTTGAACTTGCTAATATTCTGATTTGATTATGCATTATTATTATTATTATTATTATTATTCTTTTTTGCTCTTTTTTGAATAATTTTCTTTTGTTTTTATATTTTTTTCCCCCTTTTATTTGTTCAAAATAAATTCAATTCATTCATTCATTTAAAATAAAATTAATGTAAAGAGATCAGTCTGTGGAATTAACACTTTAGTTTTTAACGCATTAATGCATCAACAGCAGAGTTATGAAAAATTCAAATTGGGGGTCATGAACTGATGCTATCTTTGGAGGTCATGGCTGAAAAAGTTTGAGAACCGCTGCTTCAGTTGATAAGAAGCCCAGAGATCGTCATCATCATCTCTCCATCATTTAAAAATAAAAACTACTTCCTGAGTTTAGACGGTTCCTCATTTTACTCTGATGTTTAAAACTATCAGCTAAAGCAGCGAAAAAGTGGAATTTATAGAGTTAAGTCAGCACAGACCTACAGTAGCTTTAATTTATTTGACTGATCGTATTTATTATCTCCCGCTGGAGGTTTTTATCGTTTTATGAAGCTTTATTGCTCTGTGGTTCTTCTCTTTGTCCTTTAACGGATGCAAATGAGCGGCGAGCTAACGCTGCAGAAGCAAACAGATCAACTAAACAAAGTACTTCTGTTAAACGTAGTTTCCTTACAGGTAAACGTCACCGGAGCATCTTTGCAGACTTTCATGGTAAATGATTGAAGGACTCGTGGGAAACATACCACCGGCCCTGTACATGTTAATATGTGTGTCATGCATCGTAGATCAGCTGTTTAATAAAAATAAATCTCTTAATAAAGAGCAGCAGCAGCAGAAGTCTGGTGACAGTCGGTAGCAGCTTCCAGAGATTAGACAGAGCCGTGAGACGTGTGCTTATAACTAGTAGTTAATATCGAATCTTTAAAATGTCAAAATTAAGATAAACTACAGGCCAGCAGAGCTCAGAGCCTCTGATCGGTTTCCTCGGTGGACCGACCGCCATGAAACACAATATATAAAGAAGTGAGCCGGAAATATTTGGCCTTTTAATTTGACCTTTAACAACCTTTAATACTATTACGAGTCAGTTTGGGAAATGAACCAACCTGGTTTGGACTAAAACAAGTCAAACTACAGACGAGAACATCTCAGCTGAAGCTGGAGGCAGATTTAGAAGCTTCAGAGCCACATTTAAAGCTCATACGTGTTTCTGTTTGTCGCCTCGTCCTCCTCGTGGCTGCATTTAAAGACAAATGTGAGCAGATCTTATTTAACTTTAAAGGGGCTGCTGGTGTCCACACGTCACCTCAATCAGACCTGTTAGCATCACGGCCTTCACACTCCTGCTCAGGATGCAGCGGCCGACACGTCGACCCGTTTCCTGAAGCCCAAGAGCGACTGCACGCCAGCAGACGGGAGCTTTCTGAGGTTCTGACGGAGGAGGAGGGGCGTTTAAAACACACCAGCTACGACTGATCCCGTTTGCAGCTCGAGTCGAAGCAGAACGCAGAGAAAGACTTCCGCCGTCGGAAACAGGCCCGCGTGTTGAAATTTAAAATGCACGACACGACTTCCCCTCCAGCTCTGAGTCACGGCCTAATATTAGCCAAGAGCTCACAAAGGCTCCTTTGACGGACGGACGGAGGGACGGAGGAGAAGCAGAGCAGCAGATAGGAGGATTAAAGGCCGTGCATCCTTTGAAGAGACACACAAACGCTGGATATGGCTCACATATGTTTCAGTTTACAAATGGCCGTAAAAAAACCTTCTTCATCCTGCCGCTGAAGCTCCACGACCTCGTCAGACTCGCTGCTCGTGTATAATTTAGAGTCACAGCTTTTTGCAGCCCGAACACATTTAGATGCTTCACGACTTCAATATGATGTGATTTCAAACTACACTCACTCTGAAGGCTGTTTTCAACGGACATTATCACATTTTGGAGGCTTGTTAGGCGACAAAAGCGTCTCCAAGTGTCTCCAGGTCGCTGCTGAGAAAGACAAGCAAATAAAAATCTGTTTTCTCGTCAACTAAATGCTCATTTTACAGCAGAAAACGTGTCGAATTCGCAGAGCGACGCCCAAAAAAAGAACTTTTTCACTCCCAACATAAAGTAAAAATGCTGTGCGAGTAAACAGACATGAAACAGTGAAAATTAAAAACAAAAATCACAGATTAATCGGCTTCGTTTGGAGATTTTAGCTCAATAGTTGAGTTTAATTACAATATCTGAACCCCTGAACACAAGAAGTTTGTGTTTTTTATTTGTTCCTGTCATAGTTTTACTCGTTTCTCTGCAACTTAAAATCCTGCAGAAACAAAACAACGAAGAAGAAGAAGAACAGAGAACTCAGAAATGTCTGCAGTGGTGCAGCTGTAGAATCATAAACATGGAAAAACTAAAGTTCAATTTCTTCAACTTCCTGATTATCTCTTCTGCAAAAATTGAACATAAAATGACATCATCAAGTGTCAGCAACACTGCAAAAGAGATAACACCACTTCATATTTATATTTTATTGACTTCCACGTGTGTTCTGTGTGAACACTGCCTGCAGTTCAGCTGGAAAGTCACTTTTTTTCTGTTTTTTTGACAGATTTTAAGACTAGATTCGGTTAATTTTCCCAACAAACCTGCACGTCACAGATAAGCAGCTCAACAACTGTTAAAATCTAATGTTTTCTTTCTATTTTTATAGTTTCTTGCTCTAATTATTGGTGCAATTTTGCTATTTTTATGCCTTTTAAACCTGTTCTGGGAACCCGAGGGTTCCTGTGAGACTAAACACAGCCTGTAGCTCGACATGCTGTGGTGTTAGTCGGGGGTCTAGTCGGTGGGAGCTGCTGTGTCATTAAGCAGAAACCTCCCATCGCTGCTCACTGAGCTCCACCCGAATCCTCACAAGACTCGAAACGAGCAGAAAAGAAAACTCAAACCTGATGACGCTATAAATAACCTAATATTTATGGACCTGCCTGTTAAAGCTGCTGCAGATCTACATGAGAGGTGAACATGAGCTCAGCTTTAACGCTGACTAAACTCCTAAATGTGTGTGACGCTGAAGCACTGCTGAGTGGCTAAGCTAACATCCTGCTACACACAGATGCGGTCGCGTCGCTGTTGTTTCAGCCCTCGACTCTAATTTTACCTCCACAACGTTCTCCAAATAAAGAACTAAACGCTGCACGTATTTCAGTCTGTGCTTCTGTTTATTATCATGACTGTCGTGACTCGTGTGCGTTTCTAAATGACGCTCAGACGTTATCAGAATCCAGCGCTGAGCAGCAAAACCACCGTTTTATTCTGGTTTTCCTCGTAAACCACTTCCTGGATGTCGCTGCCTTTACTTTTCCTCACAGCCTCGTCGGTGGGATTTATTTATGCTGCATCAGAGTCGCTAATCTGAGCAGGTTTGTGTGAATAAAAGCAGAAGTGAGTGGAAATGTAATCGAGTATTTAGCTCATCGGTGGTCAGCACTGTTGAGGTCGCCGGTTCGCGTCCCGGTGAGGACACCCGGGATCTTCCTGCGTGGAGTCTCCATGTTCTCCCCGTGCAGCGTGGGTTCTCTCCGGGTTCTCCGGCTTCCTCCCACAGTCCAGAAACATGCTGAGGTTAATTGGTGATTGTAAATTGTCCGTAGGTGTGAATGTGAGTGTGCTTGGTTGTCTGCCTCTAAGTGTAGCCCTGTGATAGACTGGTTACCTGTCCAGGTGGACCTGCCTTCACCCTGAGTCAGCTGGGATAGACTCCGCCCCCCGTAGTGAGGATTAAGGTGTAGAGATGATGGATGGATGTTTGTGTGAGTTAAAGCAAACGTGTTTCTATCAGGAGAAGGTTCACCAGAAGATGCAAAACCTCGTTAATCTTCAAAAACAGGCGCCGAGGTTCCAGTAAAACCATCAGTTCTGATCAGGAAGGTTCCTAACCGGGTCGCAGCCACAAACAGAGCTGCAGGAATCGTTTAACATCAGAACCATTCAGTCTCTGAGCGAATCGACGCTGCTTCACATCCTTCCTCGACCTCCAGACGTTCTCCATCAGGGTCAAGATAAAGTGTTTGAGAAAAGACTTTAGTTTTGTTGCCCTTCGCACAGGAGAGAACAAAACCCAACTAGGAAGCGTTTCTGCCGCCGCTGATGGAAGCAACAGGATGTTAAATGATTTGACACCATTTCAGAGCGTTTCAGGAAGAAGAAGTAAAACTTAATCGATCAGCTTCTCATGTTATCGAATTAAATTCCTCTTAGCGCGAGCAAATTAAAAGCAGAGCGAGGTCACGGCGAGCTGCAGCGAAGCAGCGAGAGGCGTCGCTAGACATCGACTGCTCGAAGGTTTTCTGCAAAATATTAAAAATGAGGATTTTGTTTGACTTCACATGTAGCTCTAAACTTCAGGTAATACGTGTTAAAAGTGCTGAATCTGCCACAAAATCCTCTGTGTGTTGGCGTAAACCTGCACAGATGGAAGCTGAGACTGGAGACTTTATGTACTATCTGTTATTTTGCAGATAAATAACGTGTAATTGTCCAGATTCCTGCAGTCTGGAGGGTGTTTGCTTGATAAAGAGGTAAAGCAGAAGTAAAGTCAAGCTCTAATCCACTGAATAAACACTGCTGGAGTATGTTTTAGGTAAATTCTGCCTGTGATTTACAGCCAAGCATGCAGGAAACTACGTCTAACACACACTCACTTGGCTTCAAACTGAATGCTAACAGATTATTGGCTCATAAGTGGCAGTAAAAAGTGGTTTTTCAGGCCCGTTGTCTCCTGACGTCTGTCCCCAAACTGGTTTCTACAAAATGGAGGAATCCTGCGAGCGGTGAAACAACAACAACACGAACAGAAGTGTGTGAACTTACTCAATCTGTGTCCATAGAAGAACCAGCAGCACGTTCAGAAGACAGTAGAAGAAGCACCTGAGCTCATTCCTCATAAACAGGCAGAAGGCCAGCAGCAGCCACATGCAGCTGAACACGGACCAGCGGTGGCATCCAGCAAACACTCGGCCCAACTTCTCGATTCCTCTTCCTCTAAACTCGCACTCGACCTTATTTATACGCAACACACACACACACTCACACACACCACTTCCTCTTTTCACTTCCCCACCTGAGGCCGGGGGAGGGGAGCGTCACAAACATCTCCACAAGGTCGGAGGAGCTGCAGGAACATGAAGCCGTCAGACACCTGTGGAGGTGACTTCAGGCGTCCAGGTGGAAGCTCAGCGAGAAAACTTTAATTCACTGAAGCTGAAAAAACCTCTAAATGTAGTTATGAAGAGCAACCGGATCAAAATAAACGAGTTTAAAGGACTGCAGTAAACTTTTAGAAACTCCACCAGTGGGTGTTAAATGCATGATATCTTTGTTTTATTTTTATTTATCAGAGCCTGAAGCTGTAAGAACAGAAAGAATCAGAGGAGTTTTAAATTTAAACGACTCATCTGCAGCTTTACCCCAAAAAACTGAGCTCAAAATCTGGATATTTCATCAGAATCACTTTATTCTACGAGCCTCAATTTAAAAATTCACCAAAAATAAGCCGTCTGCATTAAACAGATTCTGTAAAAAACAATAAATTCTGCTCTCGTTGGCAAAACTTTGGAGGCGCCGACGACTGAACTGCGACCAACAGTCACATGGCGAAAATTAAGAAACTTACTGGAGTTGTGTCTCTTTTTGTTGTTTTTGTTTAATTGCCAATAATAGACCATGTGCTCTGTACAGATTCTGATTAAATTAAATGATTCTGATTAGATTAAATTCTGCTCTCGTTGACAAAACTTTGGAGCCGCTGCCGACTGAACTGCAACCAACAGACGAAAACTGAGACACTTTTTGGACTTTAAAATTGCCAAAAAATAGACCATTTGCTCAATATAGATTTTAGAAAAAGAAAAAATTCTGTGTTTTTCGACACGACTGACGAATCACGACCGACTGAGCTGCGACCGACAGTCATGTGACAAAAATTGAGAAACTTTTTGGACTTGTGTCTCAGTTTTAATTTTTTTTAAATCACCAAAAATAGACCATTTGCTCTGTACAGATTCTATGAAAAACAATAAATTCTGCTCTCTTCGGCACAACTTTGGAGCCACCGATGACTGAACTGTGACTGACGGTCACATGAAAAAAATTGAGACACTTTTTGGATTTTAAAATTTCCAAAAATAGACCATTTGCTCAATATGGATTCTAGAAAAAACAACTGAGGAACCACGACTGACTCGGCAGCGACCAGCAGTCACGTGATGAAAATTCCTCTCAGCTGAACTGCAGGCTGTGTTCATACCGTCGAGTGTGGACACAAATCAAAAATGTAGGAAGATATCTACAGTATGTAGAGTCCATGGTTGTTTCCACAGAGGTGCAGGACTTGAGGTAAAAAATGAGCCGACAGCGAGTAAAAAACATCCAGAAGCTGCTCGTGTGCAAATGATTCATTCAATCATTCCTTTAAAACAGGAACAAATGGGCAACAGGAGCCAAAGACAACATGTTTGTCATCTCACGGTGTAAGAAAACATCCTCTAATCAAACGTCTGAGATCCTATCTGACGTATAATTGACTGTAAACTGCACTTCCTGTGAGTGTGTGATAGAAAACCTCATGATGTAAAAACAGAAAATGACCTGTTTGGGTGTAAATTTAACATCTGCACACTGATAAATAGATTAGAACTGGTGCGTGCTGCTGTTCCAGTTTCATTTCTTCGTCTGTTTAGTGTTTTTATTGTAAATGCATGCTGTTAATTCCCAGAAACTTAAAGCCAAAGCCAGTTTTCACGTCCAGATATTTAGTTTTGTGCACATTCAACAGGGCTGGACTCTACTTGGAGTAAACTCAGTTAAATTTAATGATATTTAAGCAGCATAAGTCGTGTCAGGGCGCCTCAGTGAGGTCAGGATCCAGTGATTTCCTTCCAGAAAGCATCTGGTGACGGTGAGAAAGTCAGATTTTCTAGCAAACTGCCAGAGAAAGCTCCCACGCTTCACGTTCACGCCGGAGAACAAACATCATAGAAAGCGGTTTCCTCTGCTTCGCGGGTAGAAAATGAAGTGCAGCCGAAAGCGAACGGATCCCGGCGCTGGACAAAAGCGTTAGCGTAGCGCCACAGCAGCAGCTTCCTGCTCTCAGTGTCTCACTTCCTGCCTCGCAGCACAGTCGGCGGCGCCCTGCCAGCCTCCCGATGCTGCCTCTCGGCTCCTCTTTCCAGCCGACGGCGACTCAGGGAGACACCTCGGCGTTCCAGCGTGTGCTCAGCTGGTTTTCTTTACCAGACTGCAGCGAGAGGAAAAACGTGTCTGAGCCGGTGCCTCGGAGAACCTTATAAAAAGCCCAGTGTTCCCACAGAGGCCGCTGGTTAATGCATCAGCACAGAGGAGAAAACACAACACTGCTGAATGAGCCTCCACACAGAACAGACCAGCAGGACCTGGAGGAGACTCCACAGCTCAGGAACCCATAAAGTTACTGAACGTGAAACAAACGTCCCACAACGTCCTCATAAACAAGCTCCAGCACAAAGGTTTGGTTCTGAGACGGCTGGACTGTTTGAAGCACGTTAAACTGACTCTACAGCAGCACCTTTATGTTCTAAGAAGCCTCAGCGCTTCGTCCTGACGCTGCACAGATGTCGGCTGACGACGGTACAAAGTGTCCCTCGGCGACTGTTTTCCCGTTTTGCTGAGGTGCAGTTTTCCTCCTCTGCTGCTAACATGATGTCTGAGACGTTTTCCCGTTACGTCACGCTGCAGCTTCAGCACTTCAGCAGCAAAGAGCAGTCTGAGGACATTTAACACTCGGGAGTTATTGCGTGATCATTCAAGGCGACTGTGATCCTTTTAGTTGTGAGAATCGTTTCCATCTGAATGTGTGAAAACAGCTGAGTCACTGTTTCCATCTTCTGCTCAATCTGGACGTTAAAGGCACCAAGCAGACAACCAAGCACACTCACATTCACACCTACGGACAATTTACAATCACCAATTAACCTCAGCATGTTTCTGGACTGTGGGAGGAAGCCGGAGAACCCGGAGAGAACCCACGCTGCACGGGGAGAACATGGAGACTCCACACAGGAACCACTGAGACACCTTGAGGCCCTTGAAGGAGGTCATTTACCACATTTGCAGTGAAAACGTGGTGTTTAAAGATGCTACTGATGTAAAACCAATTAAATCTTGCTCAATGTCGGGTTCATGACTTATTATCTGTAATATTACTTCACTACCTCATCCTTCGTATGCTCAGTCGTGACTCGATAATCGACCCTTAACAATCCTAAACCTGCTATCCGACAGGTTTTTAGGAAAAACCAACAGAACCCATAAAAACAGCCTTAACATAGCGACAGCCTTGGATTGTGACTCCGACATGACATTTAATGTCACCAATCAGGATGACGGCGTATTATCTGACTGAACAATCCCACAGATTGGCTACGTTCACACTGCAGGACTTGATGCTCAATGAGGATTTCTTTGTGACTTCCTTCACGTTTCCAGTTCAATGCGACTTGTATGTGATCTGCTGTGTGAACTTCATACGAGCCAAAAGTGTCCCGCATGCGCAGAAGAGGACACGACGACGTCACACGCAGCGAGCGCGCTCAGTGTTTATGGAAGTAAACATGGATGGTAACGGTGGAGCGTATCTGCCACTCCCCCGCCGCCACCGATGGAGGAAACAGAAGTGTGAGCGCTAACTAAACTAGCATCAGCAGCCAAGTACTGCCTGTGTGTTCTGGACACTTCCACCCCGTCAGAGCGCTGCCCCGGGGTGGAAGTGTCCCCCGACCGGGCCGGATATTCATCATTAATTGAGACCAGAAAGTTCTACTGGGACCAGAACCACTAGTTATTATAACAACTATGAACAATAATGAACAACTAATGAGCCTTCCAGCATCAAGCCCTCCTCGTATCTGGACCTCCGTCTGGACAATCCGACATAAGAGAAGGTTTTAGTGTCAGATTATCGAGTCACGACTGTACTGTACATATTATTATTATTATTATGATGTTTGGTGCTGCTGCATTCATCTGTTCTTATTTTTTAAATCTTGCTGCTGTAACCATGTAAATTGTCCTGGTGTGGAGAGAATTAAAGGATTATCATCTTATCTTAATTACACCATTTATCTGAACCAAAACCTTTAAAAACAGAACGAATCCTCAGATTTCCAACTTTGAACAGCAGTCAGGTAACATTATAAATAAAAGTGTGTTTGGCTGAACTGCAGGCAGCAGCAGACAGGTTGGAGACACGTTAAACTCAGTCTGCAGAGTTGCCTGTTTTTATGATTTATGGCGTTCTGAATGTCTCAAACTGCACCAGAGACACGTCTGAGTTCTCTCTTCTTGTAGTCGTGGTTGTTCTGTTTCCATTGCGGTGCAGGGCTTTGTGCTGCTGTGAAAAACGAGCCCACGGTGGGTACAAATGTGACAACAAACGCCCAGAAACCGACAGAGCTGCTTCACCATCAGGAACCATGAGTCAGCGTTCACAGAGCAGAAGGTCGTCTGAGGTGATCAGCTCGGAGGTGATCATCTGTCGACGCAGCGAGGAAGGAAAAGCAGAAGAGGTGTGAAGAGGCCTCACAGCCTGAGCTGCTGATGCTTCGGCTGCAAACACCGAGTGAATAATCATGAGCTCACGTTCTAAACGAGCCTCCAGGTTCTGTGTGGGTGATCTTCTCTGTGCGACTCGGCCCGGTGAGCTTCTTCCACAGATCTGCAGCTTGTTGTAGCGACGGCAGCCCGCCGGCGTCTGGATGGCTTCAGGATCTCCTCCTGGTTCCTCTGCAGACGCCGTGAAGGAACGTCAGCAGGTTGACGGGATGTTTTCTCACCACGGCTCTGATGTGGATCCAGACGGAGCGATTAGATCCATTCTGCTGCATCTAACTCAAATAAAAACCTATTTTATGTGTATGTTTTAATTCTAGCTTTATTTCCTCAGGTTCATTCTTTAAACCAGCCCTGCTTCAGCGTATTAAATGCTAGTTGTGTTGGTCCTGGGGCTGTAAATTAA